TGACAGACATGGATTCATGAGAAGTCCACAGAACACACTACCCAGTGCATAGATCAAGATTTAACTGGTAAAAAAGGAGGCTTTTATTTCTAATACAGGAAGGGTGACTGAGAAGAAAGGGAAGCAGACTGTTGCAGCTGAGTCAAACCACTTCACTCTGATTTGATTGTGTGACACAAAACCTGATTCATCTGTTACCGGGAGCTAATGGCGTGCAAGTGCATGGTATCAGTACCAGATAAAAGTAATCATTCTGTCTTGTAGGTCCCACCTGTTGGAGGTCACTCTGAAGTCACTGCTCACGAATCAGATAAAAAAATATTGAATAAACGAGTCATGCTTTTAGCACACATCAGGTCGTTGTGCCAGGGCCGGTACCCAATGTGAAATAGGGAACAGAAATAAATAGTTGCAACATTTTCCTGTAACAGAATGTGGTGATTTAGTTCCTCATGACCATGCATCCAATGCACAATAATCATGAGACTATTTCACACCAGAGAACCACACATTATTCATTTCCTTGCTTTTCCAATTCACTTGGGAACACTGTTTAGGGTTCTAACCTAAGATCTCTTCATTTATTTTGAATTGCACATTATTCATTGTGCAATTTATCGGAAATAAATGAAGTCATCAGATAAAAGCGTAGAATCAGACGCTGGAAGATGGAGCTGTAGTGCAGAAAATCTGATTAGACTAGACGATTAGGTTTTGTGTAGGAAGAGACTGCAGGGTTTCAACTGATACCAAACTGGCAGGCAGGGTCTTATTAAACCTGTAACACCAACAAATAAGGAAGGTTTGGATGTACTGTTTTGTGCAAGGGTGCTATTATCTATGCATTCTGCTATCTAAACCAAACGTCTGATTTTGTCAGAGCAGGGGCCTGTTTTTATGTCCAGCTAAAAGTGATTTGAGGTTTGTTTTTGTTTTAGGCTTTTGTGGTGGTGGTTCTGCCAAAATAAAACTTATCTGATCATCATAAAAATTCAGTGAGCACACCAGCCAAATTAGGAAAAATTATATTTTTGCAAAACAATTTTAAAAATGTAGCTAGTGCATCTCATTCCTAAAAAAGACTAATTGAACATAATATGCATCTACAATATCTTTCAAATGGAAATGCTGTTTTAAATTTGACCCCCGTACAAAAAAAAACAAACAAATCTTTAATGGGCTGATGACAACAAAAAAAAATAAATTAAACAAATAAATAAATAAACATATATATATATATATCTCTCTCTCTCTCTCTCTCTCTCTCTCTCTCTCTCTCTGTCTCTCTCTCTCTCTCTCTCTCTCTCTCTCTCTCTCTCTTCTCTCTCTCTCTCTCTCTCTCTATATATATATATATATATATATATATATATATACTCAACAAAAATATAAACGCAACACCTTTGTTTCTGCTCCGATTTTTCATGAGATGGACTGAAAGATCTAAAATTCATTCCAGATACACAATATTACCATTTCTCTGAAACAATGTTCCCAAATCAGTCTAAATGTGTGACAGTGAGCACTTCTGCTTTGCTGAGATAATCCATCCCACCTCACACGTTTGCCACATCAAGATGCTGATCCGACATCATGAGTAGTGCACAGGTGTACCTGATACTGCCCACAATAAAAGGCCACCCTGGAATGTGCAGTTTTGTCTCACAGCAAAATGCCACAGATGCTACAAGCATCGAGGGAGCGTGCAATTGTCATGCTGACAGCAGGAATGTCAACCAGATCTGTTGCTCGTGCATTGAATGTTCATTTCTCCACCATAAGCCGTCTCCAAAGGCGTTTCAGAGAATATGGCAGTACATCCAACCGGCCTCACAACCGCAGACGACGTGTAACCACACCAGCACAGGACCTCCACATCCAGCAGGTTCACCTCTAAGATCATCTGAGACCAGCCACTCAGACAATTGAAAGAATTGGTTTGCATAACCAAACAATTTCTGCACAAACTGTCAGAAACCGTCTCAGGGAAGCTCAACTGCATGCTCGTCGTCCTCATCGGGGTCTTGACCTGACTCCAGCTTGTCGCTGTAACAGACTTGAGTGGGCAAATGCTCACATTCAATGGCGTCTGGCAAGTTGGAGAGATGTTCTCTTCATGGATGAATCTCGGTTTACATTGTTCAGGGCAGATGGCAGACAGCATGTGTGGCGTGGTGTGGGTGAGCGCTTTGCTGATGTCAATGTTGTGGCTCGAGTGACCCATGGTGGTGGTGGGGTTATGGTATGGGCAGGCATCTGTTATGGATGAAGAACACAGGTGCATTTTATTGATGGCATTTTGAATGCACAGAGATACCGTGATGAGATCCTGAGGCCCATTGTTGTGCCGTACATCCATTAACATCACCTCATGTTTCAGCAAGATAATGCACGGCCCCATGTTGCAAGGATCTGTACACAATTCTTGGAAGCTGAAAATGTCCCAGTTCTTGCATGGCCGGCATACTCACCGGACATGTCACCCGTTGAGCATGTTTGGGATGTGCTTGACCGGCGTAAATGACAGAGTGTACCAGCTCCCACTACTATCCAACAACTTCACACAGCCATTGAAGAGGAGTGGACCAACATTCCACAGGCCACAATTAGCAATCTGATAAACTCTATGCAAAGAAGATGTGTTGCACTGCATGAGGCAAATGGTGGTCACACCAGATACTGACCGGTTCTGAGTCCCCAGACCCCCAATAAAGCAAAAAACTGCACATTCCAGGGTAGCCTTTTATTGTGGGCAGTATAAGGTGCACCGGTGCACTACTCATGATGTCAGATCAGCATCTTGATGTGGCACCCCTGTGAGGTGGGATGGATTATCTCAGTAAAGCACAGGTGCTCACTATCACACATTTAGACTAATTTGTGAACAATGTTTGGGAGAAATGGTAATAATGTGTATCTGGAATGAATGTTAGATCTTTAAGTCCATCTCATGAAAAATCGGAGCAGAAACAAAGGTGTTGCGTTTATATTTTTGTAGAGTGTATATACGGTGTGTATATATATATATATATATATATATATATATATATATATATATATATATATATATATATATATATATATATATATATATATATATATATATATATAAAATGTATTGCCATTTTAATAAGACATTAATTTATGTTTTTTTAAATATTTTTAGAAATTTTATTGTATTTTTTATTTTTTATTTTTTTAAAGAGGTTGATATGCAAGCATACCAAAAGCTATGCTCCAAAAACTGCTTGCAGCATCCAATGCATTCAGGGAAGATCACCTCTCCATAAATTTTGATAAACAACTTATTTCGTAGAGTGCTACTATCTGATACAACTTACTCAAAGTATCACCAAAAAGCACTAACCTGCCAAAATGTTTTACTCCTGTTAACAAACAACATTCCTACTGCAGTCCTTTAGCTGGTGGGCTTCCAAGGACATCCTCAGCAGGCCAGCATCATCTGACCGATGTGTTGGACAGTTTCTGAAACTCTTTATTTATTTATTTATTTATTTATTCATTTATTTTAGTGCAAACATGTTTAAAAATAATCATATGTTTACTGACTCTATATGTCAACTAATTTCTTTTGCAGATGTTGGAGACTACATAATGTACATAATGCAGGGATGCTGATTTAAACCTTCAAACGGTAGACTGTCTGCTTGTTGGTTGAGTGTGGATATGTTGTCCATTAAAGTTGAACAAAATTGGTGTCAAAGAGCAAACCTAGACAAGTCCATCACTTGCTGGATACAAGTCTAACCAATTACCAGCAATGTGTAGGGTCTGGGGAATTGAGTGCCTTAAGAGCTCAATATATATATTACCTCTACTCATGACACTTAACCCACGTCCTGCAGGAAACCACAAGAGACATGGTCATAAGCCTTCCAAGAGTGGTTTGCTGATTCATATCAACGTTTCTATTTAAAGTCATACAATTGTCCTCATTCCTCAAAATGTCTGATTTGTGACAGATGACATACAGGCTAAACAACAAACTGGGGACTAAACAACACCAGCGACTGACATTTTTCATCAATAATGTATACTAGTGCCAGTTAGTTTTCCACATGCAAACCAGCAACACGTAAAAGCTCTTTAAATACAATAGATGGAAGATCAAATTGCACTCCTGAAACCATCAAATGTTGCACTTAGCGCCTGTCTTGGGCAGCCGGTGGAAACAAATCCAACAACAATATGACACAATGCAAAAAACTGATTACATTTACTAAAAATATGGAGATTTACGAGTGTTGGGATGTTCTTGTGCTGTAGAGTTCTCATAAGCTGGTCATCTCATCCAATAGTCTTGTTCAGAGCTTCTAGCTCTTAGCTTAGTAAATGCTGACATGAAGCTATTATATGTGTGTTGTTTTACATGCACAGCTTGAATAACCTAAAAATCTAAATTTTAGCACAAAAATTTTATTAAAAAAAATTATACACACAATTGAGCAGATCAAGCAGTTACCAAGAAATGCAGCCTCACTCCTCCCTTACCAAGTAGCTTAGTTGCATTCTGTGGTGATGGCAGACTGTCCTTCCATTTTTTTTATCAAGAGCCAGTGATTGTGATTGCTTAGGTTTTGTGCATGCGACCAACCTGTGCAATATATTTTAGATTTATTTCTAATGGCTCCACTGTTAGTCCTCTCTGTTGGACCAAAACAGCTGACTTAAAAGCCAGAACTTTGTCCTTTGCTAACCTCAACCTTGCAATTTTGTCTTCTGCTCTTGTGTAAACCACAAACTGAGTGCTTGTGTTTGAAATGGAAATCACCAGAAATGTGCTCTACTGTCCAGTTTTCAACTAGTGTATGTCAGAGGCCAAGTCCCCAAACCAGCCTCTTCCAGCTAGTCGGTCTCCACCCTGGACCACAACTCCCAGCATGCTCCTCGCGGGGATTCCCTCCACGTCACACCTAAGTCACTAACCGTGACTATATACGGAAGTCGCCTCTCCAGCTCACCACTCAGTCATAGTTTCTTCAGATCCATGATCAGAGTGTCCAATCAACCTATCCATCCTACGAACTATCTGCTCACAGTAAGTGCTCTTACTTACCTCTGGAAAACCCAGCATCTCCGTGTCACTTCATTGATGTTCGGACGCTCGGGGATTCCTAGATCAAACCGCAAGCCGGCGTTTCACCAATGCTACCACTTCCGCGTCTGTGAAACCACACTCTCTACAGCTGAACTCCTTGTATTCCAGCCAGCCAGTCTGACAGTGTATCAATAGAAAAAATACTTCTGATTGTATTATTTTCTCAAAGGGTTTGCTTCCCAGTCGAAGTTATGAGTTTTAATTTGTTCACACTGAATACGCTTGACTTCACTGTAGGACAAAGTTCACAGATTAAAAATATGACCCTTAATCGCCAGTGAACAGAAATTTACATTGATCAAAATATAAAATTTAAGTGAAAAATTTTAAATATGGAGTTGTATTCCTACATGGTGTCAACCTCATGGATGTAATGAAGCTGGATCGACACGAGATGTGATCTTTTTAGAGCTTAATACAGGTGAAACTTGAAAAATTGGAATATTGTGCAAAAGCTAATTTATTTCAGTATCTCATCTTAGTGTAATGTCCAGAAATGGTCAATTTTCACCTACAGATTGACCTACATGCCACTGGTCATCTACAGACCTAATTCTATTCTCCAAGGTGGATTTTACACTATCTTCCTAAAAGCCCAGAAGGATACCGCAACCTTGCTGACATTTCAGGACAAACACGTTGTCAGCCTGTGTTCCCAAACAAAGCCTTCTCTGATAACATCGCAGGAGTGCCCACTCTCTGAATAAAGTGAACATTTTCATGAAATTAAATAATAATAATGTTTTGATTAATCTGTGCTTAAATCAATAAGGTTGATTGATCTGTGTTTGAATTACTGAAAGTATGAAATGAATTATTACACTGAATGAGTTATATATATGGTAATCAGTAATGTTTGATATGACAAGGCAATTGTCACCCGCACTCAGACACAAGGACAAATTAAAGTTAAACTCATGACACATAGATATTTCTTACCCCAGATCAGAGCATCAGGTATCTCAAGAAGGCATGATGTCTGAGGTTTTCTTGGTAACATCCCTTAACATGGCATGTTCCGATTGGCCAAGAATTCATAACATGAGAATATTAAAACATAATCACTCAGGTGATTCAGCAGTCGCATTCCAGCTTTCCATCATTCAGCATTCAGTTCTAGAGAAAGACCCTGCTCAAAGCTGCCTACCGCTGACACAGCAAACGGTTCCAGCAGAACAAAGCGGATATTGTTCTGGCTCCCTAAGAGTCCTTCTAGACGCAAATGGCTCCATCCATCTGTTGTGACCCAGAAAAAATCTCTGGACTGGAGAGTCGGTGCTGCGGTCACCCTACAACCCTCGGTGCCAGAGGTCATCTGACCTCTCTGACCTTCGGATCCATGAAGAGGGTCTTCCAAAGGGTGAGGTAGACACACACATAGCGTCTGATGCCTTTTTGATACGATCCAACTTCATAGCTTAACGCAAACCAAATTCTTTCCTTTTTACACCCCAAACTCAGTTCTTCTAGACATGAAGGTTCTGATAACCTCACATTAACATAGTCACCATACATCACATTCCATCCACCCAGATCCATCCATCACAGTAAATATTAGTTAACTTGTCATGTCTTTAATTGTTTGGAAAATAAATTCTTACTTTTATAAACCTGACTCTTTTCTTGAATCAAGACGAAGTGTCCTACAATCCCTGAATAAACAAAGAATCCTAGAATCTTCTAATTAACATTCAAAGACCAAGCAGGTTGGTGTTCTATATTTATATAGAGTATCACAGCTTATTGGTCATAGGTAAAGGTAATATATTAAGCTTTTAAAGCACTAAATTTACCAACCTTACGTTAGACTGAGAGACCATCTAATGGCTCAGGAACCGTTTGCAGGTGTTTCAGATTCATTTGCTGATTAGAGTGTGACCCTTTGAGTCTAGAATATTGAATCTTTTCACAATATTCTAAATGTGAGATTTAGAATATTTGGTTAGGGTTATGGTGGTTAAAAGATGCAAGCCATATAATCATCACAATTACAAGGAGGAACATTTTGCATGTTCTCCCTTAAAAATCATAGAGAAGTTTGAAATTTGTGTTGCAGGTGTGTTCCTACTGTGAGAGACAGCATTTTTTTATTGCAACACGCATCACATTGTATGATTTTTAAATAATGTTTTGTTTTTTTGCACCCTGAAATCGCTGACACAAGCAGCCAAAATGAGTTTCCTCTACAGCGTGTCTGGGCTCTCCCTTAGAGATAGGGTAAGAAGCTCAGTCTTCCAGGAGAGGCTTAGAGTAGATCCGCTGCTCCTCCGCATCAAGAGGAGCCAGTTGAGATGGCTCGAGCATCTGGTTAGGATGCCTTCTGGACACCTCCCCAGGCACATCCAACCGGGGGGAGACTTAAAGGAAGACCCAGGACACTTTGGAGGGACTATGATCCTCTGCTGGACAAGGAATGCCTAGGATTCCCCCAGAGATGTTTGCCAAAGTGGTTGAGGAGAGGGAACTCTGGGCCTCTCTGCTTAGGCTGCTGCCCCCGCAACCCAACCCAGGATAAGCGGAGGACAATGGATGGATGACAGTATGTTTACTACTGTGTGAATATTTTGTGTACATGTATTTCAGAGACATTTTATAACAAATTTGTCCCTCAATTTCTCCACCTCTTCATGCAGACACCACCTATAAACCCACGTTTCCCCATAATTTCATTCCACGAATAAAAAGTTTGTGGGTGTGTTTGTACTCCGTCGGTCATGATGTCGTCGTCAGATGTTTTCTGCAACACGTTCTCTGATATGCTCAGTGTTTGCTGCGCTCCTTTATTTTTTAATGATCGGTCAATCACTTTCAACAGACAGTAGAACATTTGAAGGAGTATAAATCAGGCTCACCTCCTATCACAACTCTAAGAGCAGCATTTTGAATCAGATGGAGGTCTATTAGAGAATATTTTAGACATCCTGATCATAAGAATTGTAATAGTAAAGTTCTGAATTTGTATCTTTTTTCTGAAGATTGAGATGTCCTGAAGTATTGAAAGTGATGAGGCAATGTTCATTTGGATCAGAAAATATTTAACGATTCTTCCTAGTAACTGGACCTGGTCAAAAACACAAATATAAACCACAATGAGTCATGAATTGATCATTTTGGATTTACCTTTTGGAAATTTTGCAATTCCTTTGATTGTTGCCTCAATGTATTTGCAGGAATGTTGCATCCTGGAAACCTCTACAACTGTCTGGAATGTTTTGGAGTTATGGAACTAAACTTCTTTCTTTTAAAATGATGAATTGAAATTATTGCTTGGAAATGATCTTCACTTTCTCAGATGGGTGGAAAGATCATTTCTGACATTATTCTCCTCTAAATTAATATTGACGTAAAGGCTCCAGACTCGAGAACTAACACCTGATTTTAGAGCTCTGCACTCGCGCTGATGATCATATATAAAGTATATAAAGTTAATTTCTTTGTTAGCACCTGTAAAACCTTAGAAATAAAAGACAGTAAATGTTCGGATTTGATTAAAACCGAAGCCAGAAAAGAAACATGCTTTCAGTGTATAGTCTTACTGTCAAGTGGACAGTGGATGAACACGAGAGCCAGTCATGGGTTACGTAGCATGCTGACTGCAGGATAAACTCGCCTTGCCTTTTTGGCTGACATCACACTAATTGCAGTTTACTTAAAGGGAGCAAGGCAGAGGAGAGTGAGACAGTTACCTCCTAACAGTGGAGCAGACCATCTGGAAATCTCACATCTGGACACACTCAGGGAACATGACTCTTCAGCCTACGAGGTAATTTTGAATTTTAACATTTTTTACACTTCTGTTTCTTAGAAAATCGTGAAAACGTATTTTACAGTTTGTTAAACCAGGAGTTTGTTAGAAATATGTTGACATGTGTAAAAAAAGTAACTTTTATTATTTAGTTAAGAAAATTTGCTTTATTTTAATAAAAAATTCATGAGTGAAATTTTAGGATTTTCTAGATAAATATGCTCATTAGTTTAAATGTCTTTGTTTACATTTTAAAAGAGAGGCAAGTCTTCCATATTTTTTATTTATGTACATACATCTTTGTGTGTCAACTCTAGAGTGTCACTTTAGCTCAGACCATATCAAATGTTTCACATTGAATATTTATAAAACACAGAATGTGAAAAATCATAGAACCAAAATTAAAAATCACTAACAGAATCTATTATTTTCACGGAGCATTTTTAGAAACGTGTGTATGTAGCAGTGAACACACAAGACAGCTGAAACAGAAAGATGATATCTGATATTACACAGGAACACACACATACACACACACGAGAGGATGCTGTAGTGGCCAGATGAGCCTGTTGCTCATTAGTTTAATACGGTAATTACTCTGTAGTCTGACGCAGAAACAGGTAAAATAATTATAACTAGTTGTGATTTATGGCTGCAGTGACAGAAGCAGAAATTAGCATCACTTAAATCAATTATGATGATTTAGGATTTTATTCATTTTCTTTATTAAAGTCTGAATTTCACTCAGATGAATTCTGCTCATTTACACGTCCGGTCCTGTTTTGTTGTAGTTTAAAGTCTGACTGCACTTTGGAAAGGTTGTGGAAATATTCCAATGAGACAAGTCATGAGATGACTCTATGAAGAAAATTTCCACAGTGGGGCAAAGGCCTGGAAAAGATTGTCCACATATAATCATGTGGTAAAGCATTTTATTTAGATGCTTGTCTGGAGGGTTGGGGTTAGTGTACAGATGCTTGTCTGGAGCAAATTCTCCGAATTCAACATTTTTAAAATGAGAACTTCTGTAAATAAAAAAAAGAATAAAATTACTTTTTATTTTTTATAAAACCATATTCTGGTAACAGAATATTCATATTTACTGAAACCACTGGAGTAGAAATAAACCTTCTCATTAGTTCATATTACAACAAAAAGGTGAAGGAAACAAACTTTCATTCATTATTCATTCATGTTGTATTGATTTCTGTTTAATAATCCTTCGCTCTTTACAGCATCCCCAGCTTCAACGTCACTCCATCGAACACGGACCGTAACGCTACCAATGACTCCTCCTGTCCAGAGCCAGAGGCCTGGGAATGGCTCTACGCCAATCAGCCTGTGTACATTCTGATCATCAGCGTGTTGGGAATCATATTCAACCTCTTTGTCTTGATGGTGTTCTGCCTCCACAAGAAGCCGTGCACCATAGCTGAGATCTACTTAAGTAATCTAGCTGCAGCTGATCTGGTTTTGGTGTCCTGTTTGCCTTTCTGGGCAGTCAACATCTCCAATAATTTCAATTGGCCTTTTGGTGAATTTATGTGCAAAGTTGTTAACGTGGGCATTAAAGTGAATATCTACTGCAGCATTTATTTTCTTGTCCTGGTTAGCATAGATCGCTACTTGGCACTGGTGCATGCTCTGTCACACGGGAGAATGCGCAGGCCTAAGTATGCCAAACTAAGCTGTTTGCTGACTTGGGGCTTTGGCTTGTTGTTGAGCATCCCCACGTTCATCTTTAGGGAAGTGAGCTATTTCCCGGAGTATGATGTTGAAGCGTGTTATCTGGAATATCCAAACCTCTCAGTAGAGCTGTTTTTTGATGGCTTGTTACTGATACTCAGCTTCATCGTTCCCATTTCAATCATCTCATTCTGCACGTTGAAGATCATTCAAGCTCTGAAGACTAAGGTGATAGAGAGGTTCAACGCGGAGAAAACGGAGCAGAAAGCCACCACCCTGATACTGGTGGTCCTCCTGGCCTTCCTCATATGCTGGGTGCCATTCCACTTGATCACCATTTTAAACATGCTGTCACGAGCCGAAGTCCTCGTGGGGTGTCACGTCTCATCGGTGTTGGATATCTGCAACCAGATCTTCACCTACCTGGGATTCTTCAACAGCGTGCTCAACCCAGTCCTGTACGTAATTGTTGGGAAGAACTTCAGAAAGAAAGTTCAGGAACTCGTAAAGCAGTGGAGCATTAAAAGGACAATAAACTCTGAGTCCACGCGCTCAAACTTATCTTCCACACTCAAAACGCTGGTCTAGAACATCTCTAGTCAACATTCTCCTTAAAATCGTACTTTAGCGAGAAACGGAGGATTGTGATGTACAGTAACTTTATTAACTTGGTGAATGATTCAAATGATTTTAATATTTAAAGTTTTGTCCCTATTTATTTAAGATCTAATTTGTGTAGCAGGGCATGGCAGTTGCTTCCTGGAGAAGAAACCTTTATTTGTTTGCTGTGATTGATTGTCTAATTGCTTTAAAAAATAGAAAATATAATATTCTTTTATCATTAAAGGCGGCTTTTTGTGTTATTTGTTATATAACCAATAAACTAGACAAAAAGCATGCTCTTTAAATGTTGCAAAGCTTTTAGATCCTAGCTGAGTGGGGAAAATAAACAGAGGCATCAAAACAACAGCTTGCTAAGTGTTTTTTGGTGTTTCTGACTCACCCTCTGCAAAGTAAAAAACAATTTGGTCTACAATTTTCCAGTTGCAACACACATGCAACCACTTTTTTGTGGTTTGCACAGACATTAACCTTCTCACTTTGCATTTCTTTCTAGAAAGCAATTTTAATGGCCCAAGTGTTGACTCATTGTGGGCTGTGGGCAAGGGTCCACCCTGAGGTACCCTCAAAGTGGAGTCGAGCTGTGGCAAACAGGAAATCAAATTTTACTGCACGTGCTGGGGCTCAAAACAGTTGTGGAACAATTAACATGCAGGCAGACACAGAAACCTAAAATAAAGTATTTGTCTAAGTGACCTCTTTTAACTTTATTTCATGAGTTCTTCTCTTTCTTTTGCTTCCTTTTTGTCAAATATATTGGATCATATTCCAGTTCTGGTCACATTTAGTAGTGCATTATTTTTTAGAGTTTATTCAAATTTTATCAGTTTTTTTTTATTTTATTTTTTAGATATTTTCTGTTTTGTCCAACAAAGTACTGAAAATGCCCGTAAAGACTCACAACACCACATCTCTGTTGAATCCAATCGCAAGTACCGGTAGATGAAAACTTCACGGTAAAACAGCACTGGCAACTTGATCCAAGACAGAAACTTCATCTTAGATGGTTTGAACCTCTGGATCCGGGACTGCAAGACTGGGAAACTCTGGATGACTCATTTGGAGTTGATACAACCTGAATAGAAAAGAAAATAACAGTTTTTCTTTCGAATAAACATGTCATGACTGTTTAAATCCGTGATTACATGATGAACCTAAACAGATTCAGTCTCCAAGCAGAATTAAATCCAAATTTTCTCCCTTTGGAAATTGCTAAATGCTGAATATTTTACATTCAAGGCCTTCTCTGGACAAAAGTCTTATCATACTAATAAAGATACCCAAAATCTTTAGTGAACATTGTTTCTAAAACTAACTAAAGTTACAAGTTTCTGCCTGAATGGATTAGGAAATCAAACTGATCTTAAAGACATTGTAAAGAGTAAATCAGACTGTAGTGGGCTGGTGAGGTGTCAAAGATTGCCTGAAAACAAGAAAGATTCAACTTTTTCTTTTCTTTTTTTTTTTTTTACTTTTAAAAATTACTATTATTAAAAGCTAAATAATCCAAGGAAATAAACATTTTAAGCATTACACAGGATGTGTGTTTGGTGCAGTGAATAAACGGCAATCTTCTGACGTAAGAAGACTGGTGCGTCCCAACTTTAGTGTGAAAAACCAGATGTGTGCACCATCATGTGGCGAGACATTAAATATACTCACAGTGCTTTGCAAGCTCCTCACCAGCTTGTTCCTGAGGTAAAGGGAGTCTCTGTCTGTAGTGTTCACTGAGAGGTGGTGTACACCTCGGAGTGGTCACCTATCCAGAAGGATGAACGAGACAAAAACCATTCATGAACACTCTCGCCGCTAATGGAAACCAGGGTACCCCCAAAACAGTCCTTACATACAAAATCCACACAGAAAAGGAAATCAAACTGAGAGTCGAACTTCTCCAGCTTCTTGGTGTGAGGCAATAGTGCACCACCATGCAGCTTTTAATGGATAATATCAACGCTGTCATAAAATGATGAATCTAATATCTTGGGAGTAAAACAGGAAGAAAGGATAATGCAGATGGCAAAGATTCCCCTGAGACAGATCAGGTTAAAGTGAGATGTAAGCTGCTGGTAGGCATGGAACACCTGATCTGGATGTGCAAACACCTGATAATGTAGAGTTCAAACAGCAGAAAAACGCTGTGGTAATAGATGTGTTATTCCCAAGTGATGGTAACATAAAGAAAAAGGATCAAAAACTGTGGAAATACCAACAGCTGACAAAAGAAACAAATGTTGACCCCAAGACGTCAGTGGTCATCAGACAGAGTAAACAAAGCTTTGATCTCCACACTAGAAGATGGACAACAGTCCCGCAGATTCCAGGAAAGTCTTCTGCGACCTCTGTACAGAAGGGCTATGTAGAACCCTCAAGGTTCCTCACCTCTGGGAGAGGTCCCAGGCTTTATTACATACTGTATTTTGTTAATGACTAAGGCTTAGAAATGTTGGAAAATGTTTCATTGCTAGACATTTCATAGCTAAATATATAAATAACATTATATAATGCCAATTTTTCATAATTTTTTTATTTTTCTTGAGCCAGTATGTGCTAAAATGACCCTTTACAGGGTTAATGAAAAGTCACTCAGACTCCCACTGCCCCCCTGTGGCCAGAATACCGCACTTGCAACTTCAGACTGGCGGACCGCTCACTGTTGGCCTTAGAAAAATGTTGCTGACGTACCCGGCACTGCAGCCTGATTCCAGCAGGTTTTAGATCATGAACACAGCTGATATGTTTGATTTAGTGATGAATCACTCCTGTAGACACTAATGAAGGCTGAGGAGACATTTCAGCAGTTAGCTTGGTGTTAAAAAGACACACAGCAAGAAGATAAGTTTAGCTTCTGGTTATTATAAGTAATAATAATAATAATGAATTTTATGGACAGGATTTCTATGCGCAGCCATCATGTTGAGGGAATCCGTTTTGGTGGCCTGAGGATCAGGTCTCTGCCTTTTGCAGATGATGTGGTGACAAAGAGGAGGCCCGCGGGTATGGAGGACCACTGGCATGGTCTTTTCATTAGCTTTCTCTAAATGTAGAAAACAGCAATGATCAAACTCAGATTTTATGCAGTCTTTTCTAATGAAGTCAAAACATTATCTTGTTTTTGAGTAACACTGAGAAATCTGTATTATGTCCTAGTTTGGACTGTAAAGAGGTTTTACGCATGTTACTATGAATGTGCATCCACTTTTATAAGTCATAGAGCGTCTGTGGTCTAGACTCACCCTTCCACAACAGTATGTCCATTCTGTGTTCTTTGACAGACCTTCATCCACTCTGTTTGTCCTGTGTCTCTTCACACTTGGAGCTCAGATTGCGAGCCTACAATAGCAACACAAGCATTTAAAGTTTTATTAACACTGGTGAAATATTTGCTTCACATATTAGGTACAATTTAAATCTGCTGATGAGAACAAAACCAGGCATGCCTGCAACCAAACAGATATGCGAATCACACCATGCATGTCGGCCCAGCGGGAGAGATCGACAACTCTTTAGTGCTTGCTGTTTTCGCTTTGTTTTTCATGGTTTCTTGACTGATTTGCAAGTGGATTTTTCATGGCGTCCTGTCAGCCATTAACATGTTCCCTGGATATTTGAAGGGATTTTGAGCTACTTTAGAAGCATTGTCACGTGTTGAATTATTGATGAAAACTTGATGAAAACCACAAGCTAAGTATGTGGGACCTCCTTCCATATCTGGATCACTAAGATCCTTCCCAATTTTCCAGGTTTTCATTTTTTGCTCATTTAAATGTTTTCCACATCTGGGCATTGATGTTCACTAATGATGTTTGGCCCACAAAGCCTGGAGACTGTAACAAAGAGACCATGCGCATGAATTTAGTTTTCACATTCGTTACACAACGCGGACAGGCAGGATGGGCGTTTTCCACTCACTGTTCTAGCTTACCTATCTGACTCCGATCTTTGTGAACACAATGGATCACCCAGAGGCCAAGTTGAGATGTTTTGAAAATTTACGTTTCATCCTGGCAATCAGTTCTCCACATGCTAAAGCACGAACAGGTTATTGATGTGTTTCCTGCATGCGATTGCGAGGAAACTAAAGCAGAGAGCAGGGGAAGTCTTTTAATTGTTTGTGCAAAAGGAAAGTTCACTGGAAGTGGATCAGATGACAATCAGCAGCAAGCAAACTAAAGAGAATTACTAAACTTAAGATATATTGCACAAAAAGTTTTGATTTAGAAATATTTGCTAATTGTTTTAGTTTATAAAAGGTGTAAATATTACCTGTTTAAATCTTTGCACGACATGTTTACTATATAAGGGAACTCATTATGAAAAACCTCTTTTTGACTTCTTGCAAAGTAGTATGTTGTCTTTGTGCCTCATTCCCAATCAGCAACATTTATTTATTGATTTCAGACAATATGCAACTTTCAACAGGGGGTTCATTCATAAGAAAAGGCCTGCAGTCAGACTCTTCAGTTAAAAGCATTTGTTTTATTGTTTTGTGTTTTGTGAGAAAGAAAATAAAAGTTATGTTGCTGGCTTGCTGCATCTGCTTAAACTACAAATGTTCCTTGGAAAACAATTATTATTCCCTTCTTTCACAGAAAGCACGTGTTGCATCCTTTGTGAAAAACAAGAAAAAAAAAGTGAAAGTAGAACACAATGCGACACCTTTAGAGAGAACATTATGTTTCTAATGGCCAAATGCAGTCTAACTTGTTTCATAAATAAACACAAGTGACAGACATGAAAAAACAAAAAGATTCCCATGTGAATCATGGCAAACTTTCTGAAATGCACAAATAGGTTCCAGTTCATCTTAGGTGTGTTCTTGCTGTATCGTATTTCTAATTCCATGCTGCAGTTCTTTTTTAAAACACAGAACAGTTTTGTTACCTGTTTTCCCGCTACGTTTCGTTTGTGGCTGCAAACTTCCTCAGGCTGACGCCAGTTCAGACCTACCAACCTTTTATGAAATACACGACTTCCTTTGAACTTTAGTTTCCTGCTTCAGGATGGAGCTTGTTTTTCCACGACTCTGAGTTTGGATCCTTGACTGACCTCAAGTGTTGAAACTGGCTCTTGCATGCATTCCTAAAATAATCCCTAAGAATGAGGATCATCTCCAAGAGCTGCATGGAAACAGTCTGCAGCACTGACCAGGCATGGCATGTTGCAACAGCCCAAGGTTTTAGCAGAGGTGGAACGTAACACATTACATTTACCTGCGTTACTGTAATAAAGTAGCTTTTTTGTGTAGTTATACTTTTTAAAGTTATTTTTAAAGTCTATATTTTTACTTTTACTTGAGTATGTTATCTTTTTTTAAAACAATTGTACTTTGATACATTTTCAGTCATATCTGTTGCTGAGTAAAACAAAAAATAGGCTTAGTAATACATTTTAAATACTGCGCTTTGCAGCATTGGAACAGAATGAGAGACACCTGCATGAGTGCCGCGTCTCACCCGTGAGGGATGTGGGTGTACACTTTTTACAACGAGGACGTTAAACAGCCACACTTTCCTGCAGTTTTGCTCAAAAACATTAGTCCGGTCCCTGTGATTCACTCGCTGTTTGCCCCCTCTTTCCTGTTGGATGAAACCCACACCTTCGCGCAACAGTATTATGTCTGTATTCTGCTTGGTTCGGTAGCCGGACTCGGTTTCCATCTTTGAAATGTAACTGTTCTGCACGGCAGCAGCAAAAGAACATTTACCGCTCTTTACCAACGGATTCCCAGCGTGCTCTGCTCATAGAACGGGAGACCTGCAGCCTCTGTGACATCTTCTTTGTGCAAATCTACACTTAACACTGGAGCTAATTCAGTTGTAAACATTATGTGCTCCATCCCTGTTTGTGTATGACCTCTGAAGTTGCTTCTTGATTGCACATATATGTAATGATTTAGCCTGTTTAATTTTACTCATGAATAAGAGATTAAAGTATTACAAAAGCAGTTCAATGTGGTTCAATTACTAATTGAAATTATTCTAAAATAATGCAGTGTGTCTGCGTGCAGTTGTGTGTGTACATGTCTTTATATGTTTATGTGGACACATTTTGAACATAACGTAGTGCAATGATTTAAATTACATGTTATTTAATAAGCCATAAGGCGTAGGATTCCATAGGCAATATGAAATCCACCTTACAGATCTGTGAGGTTATTTTAACCAGAAGATTGGAACTTTTTATTGCAGGGATTAGATAACAGCTTTGTATTCACTCAGAGACAACAGAAGAGAGAGAGTCAAGTTTAAAAGTTAAGAATTTTATTTCTAACAAATCAAACTAGACTGACTTTAAGCACTAAATTTATGGTGTAACTAATGTGGATGAGACGGTGAATGGATGACGTGTGATGTTAATCAGAACCAGCAAATCCGAAGAAGCGATTTGTTCTGATGGGAACTGAAGGTGATGTTTTCGCATTAAGCTTTGGTTAGGAGGTTCATAAACACATGAGACACCATTTGCTGGTCTACCTACCCTTCAGGGAGTCCCCTTTAGATCAGGAATGTCGAGGTCTAGCTCGACCTTCTCTGGAACAGAGCTGGTAGGAAAAGCAGCGGTTGCTGACCAGTCCAGTCTGTGAGTTACTTCCGGGTCGTGACAATTTGTTGGTGTCTGGTGAGACCCAAACCTAGGTCTTGATGGTTCAGCTTTTATTCTGAAAGGAACTTTTGCAGCAGTTGGAATAGCAACAAATTTTTCAGCTTGTCGTTGGTTCTTTTTGGTTGAAGAGGATAGTTCAGGATTAGCCACTCCATCACTTTCTTTGGAACGCTTTGACCTGGCGTTAGAGATGACGTGGGCATAGTTTTATACTTCGGATGTTATGGTTTATGGTCAAATGAAAAGTTGACAGAGTTACCAAACACCATCAAAACCCCGCCTCCGTCAGATCTGTCCGATTCTGATTGGATCAGTGAAAGGAATGTGTCATGTCTTTTTAACGCTACGTGAAATGAGTCTTGTTGGAACCTTTAAAGTCATAGTACCTTTATATTCTATAGGACTATAATAAAGTAATTAATATTTAGATTTCACAGATTGGTAAAATCTTATTTGTTGACTAACACTTTGATGGATTAGCTTTATTAAGATAGAGTTCTTTGATTAATTAAAAGAAAAGAGTTCATTCTTCATTCTTCTGTTGAGCTGAAAATAAGCAGGTTAGAAGGAATGCATGAGACCTTGAGACCATATCTCATGCAGACTAGTCTTGTGCAGAGGAGGGAAAAAAACATTCATTTCATTCTGTTACAGTAACATGAGGACATTTCCACATTGTGGGGACATTTTGCTGGTCCACACACTGTTAAACTTGGCTTTAAAGGTTTGGTGTAAATTAACGTTTAGTTTAGATTAGTTTGGGTTAGGGTTAGGAATAGAACACCATTGGTTATGGTTAGGACTGATGTATGAGTTAGGCATAATACAGTCACAAAAATGAAAAAAATAAATAAAAATGAATGGAAGTCAATGGAGGGTCCACACAAGCATATAAATACAAGTGTGTGTGTGTGTGTGTGTGTGTGTGTGTGTGTGTGTGTGTGTGTGTGTGTGTGTGTTGTGAGCTAGCATTGTGATTTCACATTACTTAGTTGTAGCCATCTTTACGCTGACCAAGCTACTTTGAGAACATTTTATTTACGATACTTTTTACTTAAACTTGAGTAAAAAAATTACCAATGTACTTATTCTTAAGTAGGATATTTCAGTACTTATTCCACCTCTTGTTTTCAGAATAGAATAGATCAAAAAGTGGGGAAATCCACTTGCTACAGCAGCACATACACTTGAAGAAAATAATAAGATTACAGGTAAACACACAAAAGTAACGCACTATTGTTGTAACCTTCAACCCCTAAAAGCAATAAATAAAAAGTAAACTTATGTTGCACATTTCTGCAAACACAAGGGACACTGACATACTCATGTACATCCGGTATTACACAAGTATTGAACACATAGTGAATATTACATTGTTATTACAGGAAAATGCCAGTACCAGTTAAACTGAGGAGTTATACATTCTTACTGCAGAGGAAAGGAATAAATATTGTACCTTTCTGACAAACACAAGAAAAAAAGTACACTATTTGTTAAATATCCACTTTTTATCAAAGCATCTGTTAAATTTTCATGTTTAATTGGCTTGAGTGAGAAACAAATACTAAAAACATTAAAACGAGTCGCTTTAATGTGTGCCAAGTAAGAGGACACGAGCATGTGTGAAAACAAGTGAAAATTGCTTGCAGTGTAAATGACTGAGTGGTCTATAGACTTGAAATACACCATCTTATAATCATTATCTCATGAAGAGATCTTCTCCTAAATGTTCTGCTACAGTAAAATCTCCTGCACTCAGGTTTAGGAGTCTTTAACAGATATCGTGTCCAGTTGTTTATATGTGCACAGAGCAAATCTTGACTCTTTCCCAAACAAGTTGATATATTAAACTCTTGGCCTAAGGGTGTGGAAGAATTTGACTATATATACAAACCTGCTTGCAGCAGATCCCACTTTTCCTTTGTGTACACCTACCAGTTGCTCGGCATGCACAGCCTCCAGTTCCAGATGTAGCTTCTATCATTAGCATTTTGATCATCTGAGGATAACTTAAATGCAACTGGAGGTAAGAACTTATTCCATAACATGTTCCATTTTGTTTTCTGATCTGAGCATCAAATTCCAACGGAAGGCATAAGGACATCAAGACAAACCTTCATTTCAAATAGTTAGGGCAACAAAGTTTTGCATGCAAACGTTTTGATGATTAATGCAGCTGTTTTAATGATTTTGATAATTAAAATACCGCAGCTAATGGGGTGTGGTTGAATGTGTTTGAACAAAAAACACTTCTTATAAATGAAGCTTATTTGTTACAAAACTGAAATGTGGATTTTAAACCAAATCATAGAATTTGCTAAATAGTCTATTTGTTTATTTTTTATTTTTTTAGCTAATGGAGCGAATAAAGCCAGAAGCAGCAACCCAAGCATGGTTTGAAAACAGCAGCCTGATCTCCACATTTGAACCATCAGTCTCCTCAGATCTGGAGCTCGTCTACACCATCGTCCCTCCTTACATCTTCACCCTATCCCTATTAGGCCTCCTCTTCAACGGCTTTGTTCTGGCAGTTTTTGCCGCCCACAAAGATCGGCTGACTGTAGCAGAGATTTATCTGAGCAACTTGGCCCTGGCTGACTTTTCACTTCTCTGTGGCCTCCCTTTCTGGGGAATGAACATCCTGAACAAGATGGCCTGGTCATATGGAGACGTTTTATGCAAACTTGTGAACTCTGTCATTGTCATCAACTTCTACACCAGCATCTACACCCTGGTCATGATAAGCATCGACCGCTACTTAGCGCTGGTGAAAACGATGAAGGCTCGATGGCTAAGACAGACAGTTTATGCCAAGATGATGTGTGTCATCGTGTGGCTGCTGGGACTTCTCCTGAGCATTCCATCCATAATCCATAGAAAGGTGAAATTTAATGAGGAGTCTGAAACCACGTACTGTGTTCTGGATTATGCTCATGAAAGCTCTTGGAAGCTTTCCCATCAGATTCTGATGAACCTTCTGGGTTTTGTGCTCCCTGTTCTGGTTATTGTTTTCAGCAGCTGGAACATAATCAAGGCTTTGGCGCAGAGGACGGAGAGTACAGCTGTTCATGACACTAATGACTCAAAGGCTACGACGCTTGTATACATGGTTACACTTCTGTTTTTATTGTGCTGGGGTCCATTCCAAGTTTTCACTTTCCTTGACATCCTCTGTGACATCAAAACACTGGATGAGAGATCCTGGTCTCACACTCTCGATGTAGGAGGACAGGTGTCTGTTTACTTGGGCTTCCTCAACAGCACCCTGAACCCACTGCTGTATGTCTTCTCTGGACAGTACTTCAGAAGAAAAGTTAGCTCCATCTACAGAAGGGCGAGACATCAGCGTAGAGAGTCAGACATGACTACGTATCAGCGTTCAGTGGTGTCCACTTACTTCAACAGAACAGAGCAAATAAAACCAGTGGTCATTTTTAATCCAAAAGACCAAATGTGACCGTGATGACATCCCACCCTCCTCTTTGCTTCTTGTGTATTCAACACAGGATATCAGTTTCAGTTTTATCGTAACACTTGATACGATAATAATGACGTTACACAGTTAAGCAGCACTTTGCACAGATGCTTTAGGTAAAACTTCGAGGAAATAATGGATACAAAGAGAGTTAATGGGTTCTGAGAACAAGAAATCGAAGCAGAATTTATGATAACTGACTCCATAATTAAACTTGCATCTGAGGCAATCAATAAAACATGTCTGTCTGTATTTTTTTTTATTTCCTCTTATTAGCTTGTGATGTTTTCAGATGTAAAACTGTAAAAGAAAAACGAGCTCATTTGAGTTTGCTTGAACCTCATTTTTGGATCAAAATGTAGTGCAGAACTGACTTTAGAACCAGTTCTTTGGGTGGTTCTGTTCGAAACTCTAATGTGTTTCGCAGGAAAAAAACCTTCAGTGTCATTTTTTATTTTCTCTGACAGATATAGGCGAATTTGTGGTGCTGTCTGGTGGTATTCAGAGTAGAATTACTCAGTTTGTGAATGCTGATTGATAATTTTAGAGTGGTCAACAAATATAATCAATATGGAAACATAGCTCATAAATTCTATTTAGAAAGGCAATCAAAAAGGAAATGTGTTTTTAGTGTTGAGTCTTCAAACGTATTGTTTCCTTTGGAGTCACCTATCAACAAGTCTGCATCATTTCTCAGAAATACAGTTGCTATGATTCTGCAAAAAGTTGGTGACTCCAGAGTTGAAACCGAAAGAATAGAGGCAAACTGCTCAATAGAGCTCCGGACCCCACGTGACTCTCAGTTAGTGGACGCCATTTTGGCATGCAAAAAAGGTAAACAAACACGGATGTAACCATGAACATGAACGGGATCCGCTTGGATTTTACTTCGTCGGAGTTTACTTCACACTTTAAAACAGAAGAAATCGTTTTATATAGTCAGAAATTAAATAGACTAAACATCTCCGACCCTTACCGTGCCCCTGGGATACTTTTTAAAAACGCCAGAAGCTGTCGGAGCGGACTTCTTACCGGCACAACACCGGACCTGGCCGGGGGAACCCCTTGGGATTCCCCCGGCCGGAGGAGCTGGGGAGAAGGTCTGGGACTCTCGACTCTACTGCCCGCTCTGACGCCAGAAGCTGTCGGAGCGGGCTTCTTACCGGCACAACACCGGACCTGACCGGGGAACCCCTTGGGATTTACCCGGAGGAGCTGGCTCCGGCGGCTGGGGAGAGGGAAGTCGCGCTACTGCCCCCGCAACCCGACTCCGGATACGCGGATGAAAATGGATGGACGGACAAATAACAGATTTACACGTAAGTAGTCTCGGTGAGACAGATAATAGCGATCCAAAGTGCTTTTTATGTGTGATCTGACAATTGATCAACCATTGCTTAAAAATTAAATACAGCTTAGCCGGTTAATTGCTGTCATCATAAAACACGTAAACGGCAGCACGCAGAACTCACGAGGCAACGTTTTACGTGATGTTTACTTGTTACTATGAGTAATAAGACAGAAAAAGCCACGCCAAAATAAGTTTAGGAAGCCCACTAAGAATCATAATAAAAGCATTTAAAATAAATACCATACACAGTTGAGGAAACGTTGGTTTAAGTACCTGATATGAAGTGGTCGCTGCATAAGCGAAAACCTTTACTCTCGGGATCCCACAGTTTCCTTTTCGCCCGGTCACTAGCGCGTTTTATTACAATGATCCAACGTTTGCGGCGCTCCGGATCTTGGGGAATCCTGTAGATGGCTCATTCCTTATGTCGTCGGCGTCTGTTCTGCATCCTGGGGCACTACAGGAATCTACCATATTTCCTGTCTGATTGAGTTTTCTGACAATAACAAATAGTCCAGCTGCCGGCTTCTGCATGCCAATATGGCGCTGTTTCGATTTGAACTGTTGCATGCCGGGAGAAGTGACGTCAACTCCCAGAGCTCTATAGAACTCCTGTAGTGGATTCCATTGTCCCACTAGGGAAATCTGCTTTAGTAGTTTGTATTTGTATTTCTAGAAATGCCTTTATTCACATGAAAACACCTATAAAACTACGAGCTTGTTTGTCAACATCATTAAGCAATAGAAGACTGGATTTTATAGGGAGCCTAAGTCTCCCCCCTTTCCGGTCGGCTGATGGGTCCCCGGAAGAATGAAAAAATGAATGCAAGTCAACGGGGCTAAAAGAACTATTTTCTAATCTGCTTACGCCCTGGATCGCACATATGTTGTACTGCAATTTAAATGAAAACTATGTGTGTTTCGACAACGCCAGTCACGTACATTGAGATTTATCATCTTGTAAAAGTTCGTAATTAGCATGACTACATCGATACGTCCCATAATCTCCTCTCCTCTCCCCTAGCGTAGCTGCTACTTACCACATGAACAGATTCATGGTGGTTCTTTCCCCCTGTGGGAAGGATTGGAAGTTTGCTGAACTTACAGCCATTTTCTCCCTGTTTACTCTGTGTCTGGTTCGATCACTTTTGTGAAGCTCATTTGTAGTCCTGGACTTATTTTCACACAAAACCTAAAATAATGTAAGTCACAAGCCTTTCCAGTCAAGACTTGAGTCAAGTCCAAGTCAAAGACAATCGAGTCGAAGATTAGTCCAAAGTCAATGATGTGGAAGTCCAAGTCAAGTCCAAGTCCTTAACTTTGAATTTTCAAGTCATAATCAAGTCATCTGTCCAACTTGAATTTAATGACAATGATAATAAATAAATTCCAGTAATAAAGCTTCTTAAAGCTTCATTTATTTGCACCAACAAGCAGAAAGTGCAACTGAAACTGATTCTAAACAAAGTGCTGCTGCATTTAGCAGTGCATGAAACCCAGAACGAAGAATGATTTATGATTTTTGTCCATGCCGTGCCACTTTTGTGCTAAAATATCAAATATGCTCAAGTCATCATCAAGTCAACAGATGCAAGTCGATTCAAGTCGCGAGTCTTTGGCTTTCAAGTCAAGTTGTAAGTCTTTATAGATTTTATCAAGTCAATTCAGAAGTCATTAAAATGACTCAATTCTGACTTGTGTCCAGGTCATGTGACTTGAGTCCACAACTCTGGTAAACAGCACTGCAGCAAACAACAGTTTAGCCCAAGAGTGCTCTCTTTTGCCTACATGCACTGCTAATTACTTGACTAAAAACTCAGTACAAAATGTAAAGCATGCAAGAAGAGAATTACAGTCAGCAATGGAACGACTTTATTAGAAGTTTCATAAAGAAGAGTCAGAGGTACTTATTTTGTAATGATGAGATTGTTAACTTTAGCTAACTTCCCCTTATGAGCATACTATGGCAAGAGCCAGGTGCAACGTTGTTTTAAAAAATGAGTTGAAATGACCTCAAATTTAAAGTTTCAGACTTTGGACTTGACTTGAAACTTGCCTGTATTTACTTGAGACTTGACTCGGGACTTGAGGATAAAGGCTTGAGCTTCACTTGAGACTTGCAAAACAATAACTCGATCCCACCTCTGACTGGAAGTGTGCTGGAGTAGAAAACTGTAGTATTTGGAGAGTAATTACCTGATATTCAGACATCCCCCCTCTGATTTGCTAACAAACCTGTGATTTCACCACAGACTCCTTTTGCTCTGCAATGCTGATGTCCACAAATAACACAAGCCTGAAAGTGTTCAGTTATGTTGTGGAGTTGCTGACCCTAACTATTAGCACAAGCCTTCCTCGTTTTGAGTCAAGATGGGAGAGTCCATGAATGCATATTTTCAGTGTGACATACATCTGTGTGGCATTTTCTAAACTGAACGTTTCACCATCTATTTTCCATCAGGACCTAATGCAGGAAATGGGTGCTGAAGACTATTTTTACATTGAGCCTGCATGTGAAACTCATTTATTTCAAAAATAACATGTAAATAACAAGTATAAACAGTTTCTCAGTGAACTTGCTCTTTAAAGAAACTTACTTGCATCTAACATTTATATGTGATCCACGTTCAACAAGCCATTTGGTTCTTTTCCAGCCCATTATCTAAACGCAATAACACTAACCATCATAATTACAGAGATGGTCTGTTTTGCATTGATGTAATCTTGTTTGTGACTGCATTATTGCAATCATCCCATTTCCACCTCTTTGGCTCTCAACGACGTTTATTGCAACTTTCACAGAAACTACAAGAAAGGTTATCTGTTCTTCTTGAAAAGGATTGATAAGAAACTCGGGATGATATGAGGTGCTTCCACTTAATGTTAAACTCTCCCACACTCCAAATTATGAATAATATAATCATCAGTTCATCCATCAGGTCCTGTTAGAACCATTCTATTTTAAACCCGTTGTACAATAATATTCAGAAACAGCTTTATAACAGTCACGCAGTTGTATAATCTGCAAATTTTTAATAGAGTACACATACAGGTGATTATTTTTTGTGGATATTTGTGTCTATTTCTTTTTGCTTTCAACAGCTTCAATCCTGTGTGTGTGTGTGTGTGTGTGTGTGTGTGTGTGTGTGTGTGTGTGTGTGTGTGTGTGTGTGCGCGCGCTAAATGTGACCAACCCTTTAGCTCAAGCTGTACATCACTCCAATTTGCAGAACATCAGACAGATGTTGCAAATGTTTTGTAGACATTGCACAGAGCACATGTTGACTCTTTGCTAAACAAGTTGATTTAACTCTTAAAAAGTTGACTGTTCATTTAAACAGCAATTATAATCCAGATTGACAACTTCAATCAGAAAAACGTAACAAACTCTGTTCAGATTAACTTTAATCCCAAACCTAAACCCTCGCCAGCAAGAGTTATTAAACAAACCACAGAAGAACTGGATCTAACAGCTCTGACATGGAAATGAAAGATCAGATGTCATTATTGCATCTGTTGAACTCAGGTATTTTAACGAGGTGTGACTTCTTCATTCCATGGAAGGCAGATTACAAGTGAGAAGCAATGAGTCAGGTTTTATTTTTTTTTATTTTTTTCAAAAAACACTAAAATCCCACGAAACAGCATTCAATAAATCCCAACCATTAAAGGAGCTGACCAGTGAATCATTTCTGACCCCGGGTTCACACTGAAAGTATCGGCGGCGCGGAACGCTACTGCTTCAGATAGAATCCATCATAGTCTATGGAGTGTTTCAATCCAGCAGTGACGTGGACATTTCCAGGCGTGTCCCGTCATGCCACGCCGCACTGCTAAAGATCGGAACAGGTTTTTTGCTGCGTGCCGCTTCTGGGATGTGTCAATTTCTGCAGTTAGCATAGGGCTAGACAGGAAATCACACATGATTTCTGTGTAAAATCACAAGTAAATTTCAAAATAAAAGTATTGCAGCGATGTTATTTTACATTTAAGAAGCTTACATGTGACTTAATAGCTTATTTACTCATAGTATCGTTCCAGAAGTGCAGCGTTGTGGTTTTCATCGCTTTATTCCTGGCAGTGGAGAGGAACAACATCCTATATGACATCAAACAGCGATATCAAGCGTGATGTCCTTCTTTTTGGTTTAATAGCGGATTGCATAAACAAACTGTGATCTGAAGTCTCGAGGGATTTTGTGATCTCACGAGTCCAGCGGAGAGCACAGCGAGGAAGCCGTGCCACTGCCAAGACTCTTCTGGTGTGAAAAGGGCCGCTTTGAAGTTGGCGGGTAAACCGTTCTGCTGACGTTTTACACTGCTGATGCTTCCAGTGTGGAACCGGTGTGAAAGTAAGATTAAGTCTGTACTTTCACTGCTACAATCCTTAATCATGAAAGGATCATCTAAACTATATCTCTTTAGCTTTTATTGTTTTACAGCCAGAATCAAGTCTATAAAGAATCAAAGTTGTCCATCATTTTCCCCAGAAAGCAGATTGCTGCTGTAATCATCCACCATTTTTCTGACTTACAATGGGCTCACACATGAAACAAACACATCACAAACAACAAAATTACCACGACTCATCTGAACGCTGCAATATATGAGTAACCAGTAGGTGGAGTTGACAAAACAAGCAAGACATACTCACCATGTTGTCTCTGTCTTTGGTTTAAAGGTCTTTCTAACCATCTACGATATCACTGCTGTCTTTTTTATCAGTCGTGATCTCAGAATTAACCAGTTAGTGAGCTCTTTTATTGACACTCCAGTACTACATGCAGTGCAGTGCTATGCAGCAGCAAGTAATAAATTGACCAATCAACCAATCAATCAATCAATCAATCAATCAGATTTATTTATAAAGCACTTTTCAAACAAAGTTAATGATCAAGTTTTTTTTTAACTAGTGAAAACTGAAAGTTCAACTTATCATTCAAAGATTCTGATTTAAACATTAAGAAATGTAAAAACCAGTTTGTATTGGTTAATAATAGGAGACTGAAATATTATATTAGACAGCTGAAAGGAAGACTGAATTTAATCCTACGCTTATGTCTCGTAATAAAACCTGTCACAATACATGTAGATCTTTCTAAAGGATGCTCACAAGTGGTGTTAGGTTTGTTTCAATTCTTAGTTTGATTTGTTCACCTTTATTTTTCTGCAGCCTCTGCCAACATCATAGCTGATTGGAGACAGAAACCGCAATAATAATAGTTATTATGTTTATGTTTATGTTTATTCATTTCGCAGACTGGGCCTTCTATATGATCCCAGTGTACATCGTGACTATTAGTGATGAGCGAGCCATGAACGAATTGTTCAATTATTGAGAAACAGTTTACTGACTCGTGAGCCACGATTCACATTCCTAACTGACTCATGCCTGCTGTTGGCAAACTAATTTCTTTAGTAGAAAAATATTTAGCTAATGATTAAACTTGTGGAAAAACAACAACAACCAGTTTCTTAAAGGCATTTCCTAAAGTTTGTCGCACACGAGAGCAATCTGCTGAGCAAACTGCCTCGAATGACCGTTTTCTCAGCAGATTGCTCGCTGTGTGCGCCTGATTTTCACAGAGTTTTCCACCTCATGAGACGTTGAGTCAAATATCTAACCTGTCAGATATTTTCCACCTCATGGCGGGGGGTATAAACTCACCGTGTGCACACTACTGAGCTGCTGGCTGAGCTGAAATATTCTAGTGGCCAATCAAAGCACGTTCTCCCCTCACATGACTCCAAGATGTATTCTGATGCAGCCCCCTGCCCTGCCTGCGTGTGTGAAAAATAAACAAAATGGTACCTTGTAGCCATGCTTTCGTTCTTTTTTAAACACAGAAACAGTTTTGTTTACCTGTTTGTAGCTACAGTTTCGCCGACGGCTGCCGGCTTCTTCAGGCTGACGCTGATGGTGGCGCGTCACTTCCTTCTCCGTTTATCTGCGGGCAGCAGAGGACGTTGTCGCCCTCTACTGCCCGCTCTCCCCTCTCAGACGATGCAGTCCCATGCGTGGTCCAGCGTGTAAACTCCGTCGTCCCTGTTCATGGTCCCACATCCACGTCTCCTTATCTCGATTGCTTCCTTGATCCATCTTTTGTATTTTTGTTGTTCGGTGGTTATGATCCGTGTGCTGTCCCAGTCCATTATATGGTTTCTGAAGAAGCCGGCAGCCGTCGGCGAATCTGTAGCTACAAACAGGTAAACAAAACTGTTTCTGTGTTTAAAAAAGAACGAAAGCATGGATTTAGAAAGACACAGCAAGAACACACCTAAGAGGTACCTTGCAGATCGATGGGCCCACTGTTTCCATTACCATTTCGAAGGATCCAGACAGCGGTACTGTCGGAAGGATTCTGGGTCTTCCAGGTGCATCTCTTGGAGTAGATTGACATAAACTCCTTGCCTGGCCCATCTTTCCAGCCACCGTACCCATACTTTCCTAACCTTGAAATGCCTGTGGCGGCGATGCTTCACCCACAAAAAAAGTAGAGGCATTTCCTCCGTTTCCAGCTCTGTCTCCGTTTTGTTTATTTTCTGACATGCAGACAGGGGGCTGCCATCTTGGAATCATGTGATCAGAGAACGCGCTTTGATTGGCCACTAGAATAGTGAAGCTCAGCCAGCAACTCACGTAGTGCGCACATGGTGAGGCGGAAAATATCTGACTGGTCAGATTTTCGGCTCAGCGTTTCATGAGGCGGAAAACTCAGTGAAAATCAGGCGCACACGGTGAGGTATCTGCTGAGCAATTGGTCATTCGAGGCCATTTGCTCAGCAGATTGCTCTTG